CAATGGTCCTTATGATGACGTGAAGATTGTTGACACTCATGTATGATTCCAATGTTGAAAATCTGTTTGAAATGACATTGTGATGATGAACTTGTGATGTGTTAACTTTGATAAACAGGAGATAAATGTAAATAGAATTTATAGTTAGTTACCAAAGTGTGTTAAACCAAAGTGTGGTGAACCATAAACTGTTAAATAAGTGTGTTAAATAATGGTCTGCTTGACAGGAGTAGGTACTCCTAAAAGGTTTTTTACAATGTAGGTAAATAAAGGATGAGGTCTGTTTCTCATCAAGTATGGGAATCGGATGAACTTTGCCCTGGGAGTAAAACTTAAAGAAAAAAACAATTGCTCAGTACTTGTGAAACTTTCTCAATAAAAGGAGCTGCAGTCCTCATACACTTCGGGACTTAGGTGAGCCAGCTCTGCGAAGCTGTTGGTCTCTCTGCTCCCCCTCGCAGCGAGTAAAAAGCACAACGTTGTCGGGTGTGGTTCTTTTCAGGTCATTCTATCTGTGGCAGTTAGATGACAATAGTGGTGACTGAATAACGTAATTTTCGGCACCAACAGTTATAAAATCAGTAAGGGATTGGGTGGGCAAAGAAACATTATTCTTTTCTAACCAACCCTTAGTTTCTGGCAATAACCCTTGCAGTAACGCATTTTTTAGTTGTTGATGATAAGGGCCATTTTGTTCCCCATCATCATTTATTCCATTGTTTTTTTAAAACACCATCTCCATTCTCGTGTGATAGAAGGAGTCGGATTTCTTTGGAGCAACAAGAAAATTAAATATTAAAAAAATTAAATAATTAAATATCTTAGAGAAAATATTCTATAGTCAGAAAATACAAATAAAATATTTTATATAATTAAAATTAAGCTTAAAAAGAAGAAATAAATTAAAACAAAAATTTAAAAATTTAGATTTTTAGATTTAAGAATTTCCTTACAGTTTCTTATACAGTTTTAACCCAAAGGCAGGAACTGATTGGTCGTGCGGTGTTGGCCTTTTGCCTCTCGTTTTATGGCAATAAAATAAAAATAAAATGGCAATGTCTTCCTGTTTTAAGTTTCCTTCAAAACCATACTCTTTCTGCTAATTAATTTAAATGTTTACAGGACTGTCTTTTTGTTACATAAGTTCCCCATTTTGATTTCTTATTTTATTCAATTTTTTAATTTTGAATTTTTTTATTTTATGCTGCGCAAAAAACCTAAAAAAAAAATTCTTATTAGTTGGTCTTGTGATCTATTTCAACTGATCAGCAGTCATACGTTTACACCGTTAGGTTTCAGACTGCCCGCTGATTTGATCACAATTCCTCCTCAGTCACACACATTCACATTCACTCTTTTTTAGGCCTTTGGCATCTAGGAACTGCTGCCCAGGGACTCCAACCCGTTTAGTTCTAGGGTTTACTGCCCAGGGACTCCAACCCATTTTTCAACCACGCGCTGGTAATAAAAAATTGTTTCTCACCTTCGTCGTCGATCTTATGCTGGTAATGGATGCCGTCAATCAGCAGCCCAGGATC